TATCATCGCAACCAATTGCAATTTTTGAAAACAATTTTTTAGCCATTCTCTAGTAAACTAATCTCTCTATTATGCCAAAAAAATTTAGATCACTTGGCCTAATTAGAAAAAATATTTCCATTTTAAAAGCTGTACGAATACTTGTTATACTGACTGTAACTAACTGTACTGTTACTGCTACATATAATAATTAAGAATATCATAAAGTTGTAAAAAGGATTTACAGTGTATGTCACAGAATTTTTTTGATATACACAAATATATAATAATTATACTATCCATAGAAAATCTCAGTTTTAATGGAAAACCAAAAGTGTGAAATATTGAATCATCTGTATTTTTAAAATTCTGACAGAAAAGAAATAATATTTTCGACAGAAACATTCTTTTTTCGATTGAAGAATTTTTATAAATCGTTGATGCGGTTATTTTGGTCTTTGGTCAATAATTTCCGTGAATCTACAAATAAAACCAAAACAGAAAAAACCGTTTGCAATTTATACAATCTATAAATGCATTAATTGAAATATGAAGACTAAAACAGTTTCTAATGACCAAGGTTGTTAAAAAAAATGAAACAGACACAGTATTTCCACGAAATGATTTGTTTTTAGATTTCATTGTTTCTTGAATGCAGAGAAAAATGTGTTTTCACTCGGAGCTTTCAAAGCCGTTTGCATTTTTAGATATGGATGTCAACAGACACGAAACAATGTGTGTCAAGCATCTTTTAAAGCAGCGTTTGATTGTCTGAAAAGTTTGAAAGCTCTTTTACATTTACGCGTAACCTCAAAATGGTTCGAAACTTCTCCGACAATCCGATACTTTGTATATGCATTTCATTAAAGTTCCCGTTTCACGCTTGAGTAATGTCCCTTGTAATTTGTGTAGTATTCTTCTAAATATAGAACCACGCGAATCCGCAACTAACTTGATTATTAATGACCAAGTTATAGAATTTCCGGACTATGGTCGTACGACGAATTTTTATTGAAATCGTTAACGATGCAATGTCAGAACATTATTACCACCTGCTTCTTGGTCCGACTCATACGATCATTAATCTTCGCATTCAGATTCAAACGTGTTATACATCGGACGTTGCGTAGCAATTACATCAACTGCCGTGGAACAATAATTCTCTCAAGGGGCATCGTAATATATTCACGAATATTTTATAACTAAAAATCTAATCACCTAAAACATTAGTTTACTTACCTCTGAACTATTCAGATAAAAAGATTTCAATTTAAATAATAGGTACATGTTATTCTACCAATATTTATACGTCCAAAGGAATTTGTTCTCCGTCAATCGAGAAATGCGATGATTAATTGCTTTCTCCGTTCAATTTTCTTCGGTGTAATAGCTTTTGAAAATTACATACGGTACGTTTCCCCGAGAAGCGCTCTATAGTGACGCAAAAGCGGTCCACTGAAAAATGAGACCGTCGATGCTGAGGCTTTTGTGCCATCTTCAGCTATTGTTGAAAAATTGCTTTTATATAGATAGCGCGCGAGAGCACTGAAATCCGTCTACGTTGTTTGCAAAGAAGACATTAATCGGAATAGATGTCTGTTGTTTTACTTAAACCGTCAAGGAATTCTGGAACGTTCATTTTATATTAAAGAAACAGTTTTGAACAGATAAACATCATGAAGCGTATATGTATGAATAGTTATAGGATGCTATTATACATTTTATTTTAAATAATAACTTGACATCATCAAAGACAGGAATCATTGCTAGATCGAGGATCTTTGTGCAAAATAAAAATTGTTTAAGTTAATTGTAAAAAACGCAAGCCTGATGAAAATGTCTTCTCTCTTTTAATAATTGGAAAGAGATGTACATAATATAAAAATATTCTCAAATTGTTCTAATGTCTTCACAGTTTTGTATTTGACCTGGTCATTTCTGTCATAAATGCATAAGATCTGCAGCCTAATCATTACCAAGATATTTTATTCTATAAATTGAAGTGAAACGTTTAAAAGATGTCTATTTATTTAGTTAACACATTGCGTCCAAAAATTCTCATGAAAGCAAAATAATTTAATTAATGAAACTGAAATGATGATATTTTAACTCTTTTACACTATGAACACGCTAATAAAATTCTAAACTCTAAATATACATTTTAAAAACCAATAAAGAATTAGCGCGCGTCACTCATGTTAATATTAACCTAATTAATTAGGCTCGTGATTAAGCCAAATGATTACTCTTGTAACATTTAGGAATCTAACTGGAAGAAGGAGCTAACGTAAAATTTTAAACAAAAAATACATAGTAATGTTCGAAACAATAATTGAAAATACATAGACGGTACATTCGTAATTAAGTTACACTCTGAACCACGGAATAATCTTTAATAAATTTATCTATATACCTCGATACTATATTAAGAACGCTTCAATCGATTTTAAAACGGAAGGGTTTGAACATACAAATTAAAGAGAGAAAAAAGGTACACCTGCGTACGTATTGCTAAAAATACTAAAGCTAAAATAATAATCATAAATAAAGCAAGTGATGTTGATTAGAAACAATTCGTTGATACATTTAAATTGTATTTAAAACTATTCGGATGTTTATGTGTTTTAAAGATAATTTGATCGAGAAAAGTGGTAAAGTAATCTATCTCTCCTGTACCAGACTACTAAAAATAAATCTGTTAACAGTTCCTGTTTAAAGTAGCGTGCTTAATATAGTACAACAGATAATTAATCTTTGTTGCTACGACGGTAAATGTCGTTCAACGAAGACATAAGTCCTGTGACGAATATGTTGTACGTCACTCCACATACGCGAGGTTTACCATAATCAATAAAATTGTCTACACTCTTACAAAGAACTATAGACAGCGCAATTTGCTGAAACGAGAACCCTGCAAGAAATGTTCAACTGTTACGCACCGTTTAAATTGTATGTGTTGCGAATATAAATTTTGTAAAATGTATTATTTCAAGCTTTCAACGTTTTATTCTCGGAATAGCATAATACGTATTCAGTATGCGAAAAGTCTTGTACTTGTATGAATGCACTGACATTTTCTACAAAATCTTTGTTACTGTTTAAACTTTGATTTTGCTTTTTCTAAGGTGTTTGTTCAGGCGTATATTTTTTCTCCCTCAATTACCAACATTGAAAATGAAACAAAAATTTCGTTCAGGAGATACAACAAAACGATAAGAAAAGTAATAGAGAATTGAAGGAATAAGTGAAGCAACGATCTGAACTTTTCGCTACAAAACGTTTTAGGCTACCAATAATTTCATGCATTTAATAAAAATTTGAAAAATCGAAGATATTGAAATAGGAAGAAATTCGATAGGATAATTGATTATTTGAGTAACCAATTCAAGTGAGGGAAACGCCACAGATTATACGTCATTTAATGCCACAGTTATAAAACGGAATACGTCACATCGGATCGATAGAGAAACGCACAGGTCACACCTGCGATATAATACTTACAACGCATTCCATGCACCAGGTTCAGCACTTTTCTTTTCTCTGCGGCACGTTTACATCATTACAACTCTTGCGGATGCAGGTCAAGCTTGCAGCTGACTGATTCCTCGCTGTTCGATTTTTCTGCACGTCATCGTAGAATCGAATGTAAAACGATCGTCGTTGGCAAGCTGTTGGTAATAGCGAGCGCATCAGTAGCAGTTCGATGTCGCTTATGCTCGGCTCTTCAATTTCCCCAAACTTCCCGACGTCTCTTGCATCCATTGACGCACATCGCACGCCAGAAATGCGTATCGCCGTCGAGAGTTTATAGGTTCTACGGAAGTGTAATGCCGTCCCGAGCGGAATTTTAAGAATAGTTGATCCGCCGGCTGACGTTTTTATAGGCCTTATCATTCTTCCCGTTCTCTGAATGATTTCGTGTTTACAGAGACGCGCTCGTAAATTGTTCCCGTGCCACGCTGCCGCACGCGGAACGCTTTGCTTTTTCAAACTCGTTTACTGCAACTCATTTCCCCTTTTGCCACTTCCGAACGAGCGAGCATATGTCGGCCCCGATTTTCCAAGAATTTTTTAACGAATTCTAACAGAATCCTTCTAACCGATTGCATTGTTTTATTTCGATGTAGTTGCTGGTGTAGAATTTGTCGGTTGACCAAAATTGTTTCGAATTTTTTATTTCGTTGATGCTGAAATCGAGGAGGAGGATATGTTACAGCAAAAATATGGATATTTTGAAGGAGTCATATCGATAGCTTGGTGCATCTAGTGTTAAAGACATTGTATGGATTTATTGAAGAATATTACTTAGGTATCTATTAGCTTCTTCATTTATAGGCGTCATTTTTAAATTGATTGAGTAATTGAATTGTTTTGAACAACATCAAATTTTTAAATCTAGGATGGTAGGTCATCTGAATCGTAGAATTAATTCCTTATTTATTATTAGACTGCGGATCGTTATGCAAAATAAAAATTATCTGCATTATTTTTGCATCATTATCTGCTCATTTTTTTCCATAAATGCACAAAATCCGCAGTATATTTATTATAGTTAGTGTGTGTGGATCCTTTCGCAAATTTTCATTTTCGTGAGTTATTTTATAAAAATCTTGAAGAAGGGAATTTTTTTGCATTGTTTAGTTGTTTCCTTGTGGTAAATAGAAAGCAATAACGCAAGTACTTTTTTCAAATGGATATCTGAACATCCGGTAATCACTTTATTCATAGCAATTTTGTGTTTGCCAAATTGAATTAAAAGTATAAGATAGTATTGATGTAACTTTCATCAAGTATTCGAATAAGCAATATTATTTTTAAAAATGTTTCTATTACATTTCTTCTCTTCAACCCTGTTCATACATTTCTGGCATAGCACATTAATATTCATATAGACGCTAAATTACGCTCTTCATCAGGAAACCGAAAGGTCTTCTAAATGGAACTACTACACGATTCCTGGAATCCTTCTGCCGTGATTTAAGAGTTCGATCAAAGTTTAAGGAACCAAAAGTTTTCTTCCTTTTTAGCAGAAGGGATCTTACGGTCAGTGGAATGAGAAGAATATGCAAAAGTCACTTGAAAAATTCGTCGTAGCTTTAACGAATGCCGCAGTCGACTTGAAATACCTAAATCCGCGTTTATAAGATAGCTTCAAGTTAGCGTTAAAAAACCTTCAGCCTCTTTAAGTAATTGTTTAATTCATTTTCATTATTATATTATTCCAAATTTCACTCTTTCAGAAGTGGCTATGATTTTCGAAATAAATCAATTTAGGTTCTTCTATACTGTTCTATACTACATGCTGTCTAAACTTAGTCAACGTAAGTGGATTAGTTTCTTGGAGCATTACATGAAGAATTCTGTGATTGACCTAAATACATTTTTAAAAAAGCAGACCACATTTCTTCGGGGATCAAAAATTTCTTAAACTATACAATATTGGCAACTTGCCCGTGTTATGACTTGTAACATATTTTACCAAAATGATTATAGCTACAGACAAAGCTTTCCAAAACTCGCGATTCGACTAAAATAAATTGTTTCTAATTATTTGTGATTTTGTCATTTGTATTGAAATAAATCCTCAAATAATCGAGTTTATTTATAATGTTTATTAAAATTTGATGCCAGTTAGTTTGATAGTTCGGTACATCTAGTGCTAAAGACAATAGAAAAATTGATTGAAAAATAAAACTTGGATGTTCATTTGAAACATCATTTGTGTGTGTCACTAAATTTTTGAATTATTAAAATAATTGGATTATTTTGTAGAAAAACAAACATTTTATAGTGAAAAATATAGATATATAGATACGTTAGAGTATGAAGGTGTTGATATGGATTCTTTAACTCACATGCTACTTACATTAATTAATAGACACTGTTTGAAGAATGTAATATCACTGCGTTTGTAATACGATGACCATGACAAGACATTCTAATATTAGCCCTTTCAAGTTGTATTAGTGTAACTATTAACCTACTCCCCTTTATAAAACATCTGCCGAATATAGTTAATTTGAAATAAATTCAATGTGTGCCAACGTTTATCACCAACACTTGTGAGTACGATCATATCCAACGGTAGTATGAGCAAAAATAAAAGTACAAGAGCCTGTGTGTCAAACACGTGACATTGATATGTCACGAATATTTTCACAAGATTTTTTGTAGAATGATGAGACAAACTATAGTTCTAGTTTAACCCGAGAAAGATAACCTACGTCGCAGAGGCGCCTGCGAAGACTGTTGATTTTTGTTAATTTTTCATAGAGGTCTAGTGATTTAAGTTTAAAATTACTGAAAATATAAAAAAATATAATATAAATGCATTTTATTTTTACAATAATGCCAAACCTTTAAAATGACTAGATTAACTTAAATAAATATCCATTGTTAGTATAAAATTGACGCCTT